AATGGAAAAAGCAAACTTAACTCTCCGGTTCCAGGGATTGAAAGAAGAAGTTGGAGAGGATCTAAGAGACATACTAGCGACAGCCTTGGCTCTAAAGGTGACATCAGCAACGCCCCTGAAAATCGGAGATCAGTTGATAAGAATTTTAAAAGATGTTCCATTTGAAATAAGAATGAAAAGAAAAGAATATAAAGGACTGACCAGATTTCTACAAAACCATCAAACAAATTACAAATGGCTGGTGCCCGAAGGACTGACTTTCAAGTTCAAAGAAAAGAGAGAAAAGATTGATTCTATCTTTAAGGCTCAAGACTTCTTAGAAAGGCACGCCAGTAAAGAAGAAGAGGCAGAACTGGCCAAGTGGATGACAGGACTGAACGTGGAAGACAGCAGCTCGGAGGGAGAGGTGAAGGACGAGGAACCCAAAGGAGAGACTGCTTTGAAGTATAACTTGAGAGATAAGAAAGGAAAGGACCCCAGACTCTAGAGATTTTTCGATTTTTGGATTACACTCTGAAAAAGAAATTAACTCCCAAAAGGACAATACTAACATATTAATTGCCTTGTTAACAGAGATGGAGGAAGAAAAGAACGCCGGACTACAGAAGCAGTGATTGACTCTAATTCTTAATATGAAAAGATTAATATACTAATATATTAACACCACTCACCCTTTTCTTTATCCATCTATATACCCACCCCTTTTCCTGACTTTAAGCGAAATATCTCTCCTTTTTAGGAGAGGGAATAAAGCTATTAAATAAAAAAAAATATTTGTGGTGTTTACAATTTGTACCTTCTTCTGTATCCTCATGGTGGACTACAACACAACACAAAGGAGTAAAATAGTGTCCTCATGCAGATGCTTGACAGTCCCAACATTATTGCACGCAGGGCCATCAATGTGCTTACAACTTGCTATGAATCATGCAGTGGTGCTATTTGTATGAACTATGGTTTCCATGTGAGGCTTGGGGGACTACTATAATTTGCAGAACTTGGATGGCTCAAAAACTAACTACCATGATTGAAGAAATCATGAGGCCTCATGGAATGCCATTCCCTACAATTACAGAGTAAGTGACTTCATGTAATTCTTTTGGTTGGCAAGCCTGCCAGTAATTTGGTATGATGCTGCAGGCAATGGTATAGAAGGTACTGAGAATATGAACTCAAACACTGGCTTGCCTAAGGCCTCCTAATGAGTTCTGTAGATGACCAGTGGTTGGAACTTGAACTAGTATTTGAATTTAAATAAGCAGATTTAAGCAGTGTGTCAGATAGTAATGAACTAAACAAGTCTATGATTTTAAGATGAGCTTTTAAAAAAACAAAAACAAAGGGAAAAGTTCCTTCCTTCACCTACTGTGCAGCAGGACCAGTAGAAAGGTAGCATGTGAAACAGTCCTGGGGAGCCAGATTGGAGTAGCTGCAACCATTTGCTCCATTCTAGGCCACAGGTGCATCGCCTGTATGAAGCCCCATGCCATGCTATAGCTATCCAACTGGTACGACAAAGCAAACATTCCCATCCGGTGTACACATTGTCTCATCCTGCTTATAGTGTGCAAGGGATTTACACCAGTGCAGTACTACAGTCCTTTTGGGATGGGGTCTGAGGGAATTTCCCCCCAAAATGTTTAATACTGTTAAAGACCCATCAAATCACCACCAAAGCCATAAAACAGACAGGGTATACAGTTCAGCCAAACACCCCTTATAAAATCTTAAACATAAAAATTAAACTAGGCATTTCCATCTAAAAATTGTTGGCGATATCTTATGGCCTTCACAGCAAACGTTGCCACCATTAAAGTAATTTCTTGATTCCTGTTGGTTAAAAGCTTATCTAAGTAAAATCTAAAATTTCTCCCCGGGAATTGGAGACAGACTGGTGCTAAATAAACAGAACGGAAGTTCTGGTAAAGTTTACATTAAAAAAGAACATGTTCCCTCAACTCAATCCTTCCATCCCCTCCGATGCACAAACATTCTTCACAGGGACACCTTTTGTATTTACCCTCTGTAACCGCTGAAGGAAGCATATTTGCTCTCATAAGAGTAAAAGCTCTTTTATACTCAGCTTTATCTAAATTCTGTAGGTATGGCATCAGTGATATTTGGTTCAAGTTCTCTATACCTGGAAGATAGCAGTTAATCTGGGACAGATCGTGTTGTCTTTCAATATCCAGGATTCTTTGTTTAAGAAAAAGTTTAACAGAACTATATTCCAGCTGCATCATAAACTGTTTAGAGAGCCCATAATAACCCAATTTAAACTCAACTTCTTTGATCCAATAAGGTATCATAGAGTATCTCACTATCAAGCTTGTTAAACCAGTGGGCTTGGACATACTAATTTGAACCAATATAGGATAGCAGCAATCCATAATCGAGTCTTTAGGGTAACCATGCCAGTTTCCACCTGAATGAGTGCATTTGAAACACCAGACGGGACCTGTAGAATATGCCATAAAAACTTAGATTGAACATTTTCGAACGCCTGCCAATAAGTTTGATATAACATGGGCAAGAGGTTTGGCCTTAAAGATCCTAACTGCCACAGCTATGTTCCGTCCCCCTGAGTTCCAGTAGAATTTCTCAATTGCACCTACACTTTTTGTCGAACATGAAGTAACATAATCCACATGTGCCATTCTGGAACCTGAGGACAGGAAAACTATCCCTAAATATTTAAAACAGCAGACTTGCTCAATATCTACTCAGTTGATCGGCCATTGATATAGTTTGGGATTCTTTGCAAAAACTAGGACCTTTGATTTCTGATAATTAATTTTAACATGATTGAACTGGCAGTATAGAGGTAAGATTTTCATTGCACATTTAAGCCCAATGGGGATCAACATCGCATCATCAGCATAAAGTAAAAGGGGGATATGTTTCTCAGCAATTTTACGGGGATGCACCTCTTGGCGGTTTAAATGCTCCCCAGATCATTTATACAAAAGATTAAATAAGGGAGGTGCCAATATACAGCCCTGTTAGACACCCTCCTCTACATTAATAGCTTCTGTGAAATGGCCTTGAGGGTCAGTTCTCACTCTGATTTTGGTATTCCTATATAAGCCCTTCATTAGGGCTTGTCTTAGGGAATTAGGGCACTACATCTGGGGATAATGCAGGTCATCTGGGGGGCACTATATAAGGAAACCTATCTATCTACCTCCAAAATCTTAAAGTTAGTTAAGAAGTAAATGCATATAAATGGACATTACGCATAAAATGTGCAAGCCATAAACATCAAGTGGCTGAAAGTAATACTGTCATCTATCCTAACCATAAATCAAAAAGCTGAATGAAAGGGGGGTGGAGGAGTAAAAAGGCAAATTGTCCTTTGGTTATCCTCTAATTCTATTCTGCATTTGGCAGTAGAGTATATCTTTTCACAGACGATCACTTAGGATCTGTTTGTTCTAGAGAAAGAATAGACATAGTCATAAAATTCTGTACAGTCTACAGAGCAACAATTGGATCAGCTTGGCTAGCCATCAGTAAATGTGAGCAAAACAGGGCAAGGCCACCAATATTCAGAATTAAATACCTTCCAGTCAACTAACTTCCAGGCCTTCTTGTGCCTTAAAGAAAGCCTTTGTCTTGCAAAATGCATTTAACTGCCTTTAAACTTTTCAATTCTTTTATTTTTGTAAGGTCTCTTGTTTTTCAATAGTTTCAAAGTAATTCCGATGTAAATCAGAAGTCAAGACAAGAGTCACCTGATGGACAGAAAATTACTAGGCTGTATGAAACGAGAAACCGAATCTCTGAACACCTTTATCATAGAGGAACAACCCATTTGGAACAAACAAAAGAATCTTGGTTTTCTTTTCCTCAAAGAGGTCACATTTGCCAGTGATCCTCTTTCAACTGATAGTACTTTTTCTGTACATGCTCTTATCATTCTATCTGCTGTCTGCTACACAGCTGTTTAAAGTTCCTACCTACCACTCTTATTCTCTTTTTATTTTAATGCTGTTACCAAACACCAAACCTTTACAGGGACAATACAACCCCTCAGTTTTCACCCTTTCTTTTCTTAGCCTCCTCTTTCCTATCTTCTGGGAAGACATTTGCAACAAAGAATGAAAAATGGCATCACAGGCAGGTGATTTAGAAACCCCGCTGAAACTTCAAGTCTTTTTCAGCACAACAGAGAATTCCTTGTATATGGCTTATAATTTCCATAAGACTGGTATATAAGTCTAAAGCTGCAGCTTGAGCTGTTGAGAACTGTCACAGTGAACCAAATCAGAATATATAACGAATCTGAGTTCCATCCAACTTGCCTCACTGTTGCTCATTTCTTTTTAAATATTTTCTTGGTCATCACAGTTTTCAAGCTTAGCTCTTTAATCATGAGGACTAGAGACCGACCTGAATTTAAAATGAAAACTATGACACTCACAGAGCAATCCCATGCAGAGTAATCCTGCATAAGACTGCACAGTCAGAATTCTAAAATGATTCCACAAATAGACCTATGTTGTGTGGCCCTATCTTACAGGACTCAATAGGATCTTTGAAACCCAAAAGAGAAATACTGTTCAGAACAAAAACACACACAAAACACCATAAAAGTGAATGAAACAACTGATCATTTAAAATCAAAATATCGGTATAAAAACCTTAATAAAATATTATAATAAAAATAAAATCAAAATAGCTTACTTCGGGGGAATAAAATATTACTTGCAGATTTATTATCTGTGGGATGCTATGGCTAGAGGGTTTTAGCACATCTGAATCAGTCCTATATGAAACAGAATGCTCTAGAAAGTAATTCCTTGTTGTTATTGTCTAAGCAATGAGCACTATCTGTGAAAAACATTATGATCTTATACCATATTACAATTAATAGAAATCTGCATTTCTACTAGTAATGGAGCCTTGTTTAGACAATAATATATGTCTTCATAGACAATAACATATGTCTTCATTGTATATACCATAGTCTGCCATATAAAGTATGATTATATACTTACAAAGACTGAAGAGTGCGCAGGTTCTGGAGTGCTTCAGCTGGAACTTGCCGTAGCAGGTTGTTCTGTAGCATTCTGCATTTGTATATAATGTGTGTGAATAAGAAAATTTATGTTCAGAGTTCAGTTTCTTTTCATCTTACATACTTCTATAAAGCCACAGAAAGAAGTTGGGGTTCAAATATGGTAATAATCAGAGGTCATTTCGGGGTGGATCGCGGGGGATCGCAGTTCCCCCGGGTGAGGTGCAGGGGGCGGGGCACATGACGAAGCCCTGCCCCCTGCTTCCGGCCGCCCCGCTTCTGGCCCTCATTCAGCCAGGAGGAGGCAGGAGAAGAGGGAGGGTAAGTTGCTTCCTCCTTGCCTCTCCCCACCCCTGCCTGCCTGGGGCCAGGGAGGGCCTTCGCGGGGCTTCCTTGCACTCCCGCCGGCCTTGCAAGTGCACTGCCGGGCCCCTCATGGGGTCGGCAGTGGAGCTGCAAGGCCGGCGGCAGCCGGGACCGTTGGGGGCGGGCTGTGTGGCCTTATGACACACTTCCGGTGATGTCAGGGGGTGTGGCATATGCTAATGAGTTATGCTAATGAGTTCCCCTAGCTCTTTTTCTACGAAACGACCCCTGGTAATAATAATTGTTGGCCCCAAATTCTAGTGCTTCCTGGAAAGTGGCTGTTTCAAAATACATGTTTAAAGACCTACTCCTGTTTTATTCATCTATTATGAGACACTGTACAGGGAAGATACAGGAAATAAATCTTTGGGGAGCCTAAAATAATTCTCCAAAAAGAGTTCTCCAAAAAGATGGGGAGAGGAAGTAGCTCCATTTTTTCATGGCATATTAATTAAAATGTAGTTTGGGTAATAAGTCTCTCTTAAATCCTTACACTATCGGATGCTGCTGGTTATACTTATGGAAATGGCGGATTCTGGCTATAAATTTAGGGCATATAATAAATAGTTTTTCCTTTTCTTTTTTCAAAGCTGGTTGTTGTGAAACAGGCTTTGCTACTTCAACATAGTAACTAAGATACAACATAACTATTGTCCCCATCCAGAAGTTAGTTGCACCTGACCCACTGTTAGAAATGAAACAAAGTCATCCAAGCTGGGAGGGACTTGAATAAAGGAAAGTGTTTTAAAAAGAAACAAAAAGACTTCCTCTTAAAAAACCCAGAAATTTTCCTTTCGTTAGGGTTAGGGTTAGTTTATGTCGAATCTACCTTGACATAAAATGAAAGATTCTGAAAGCCAAATTACACCATGATGAGAGTAACTAATAGACATTTTTTTTCTTCCATGTACCCACACAGTTTGAAACAAATATTGTTTCCTGCTATACATCATCTTCAGAAATGGCTCTGAACTGAAACCTGCCACTCTGCGGCCCATTAAAAAAACAATTAGCAGAAATTAATTTTGTCTTTCACATTGTGTAAATTACTGGATAAGTAAACTGTTCTTAGACTATCACTTGTTTCAAATTTAGAGGTTTATTGGTACAATGTAGCAAATATATACTTTAAAGACATGTACATCTTCCTTTCCCTGTGCACACATCAAAACAAATAATTCACTTGACTAAGCTGTGTTACAACAAAATTAGGTTCTGGGAGGTTTTAAGGAGTAACATAGGAATAATGACACAAACAATACCAATTTACTTACAGAACTTTAAGACTAAAAAGTCCAGCAAATGCTCCTTTGGGGATGTGTGTCAAGCCATTTCCTGCTAGACGGCTGCAGGATTAAAATAAAAGATAAATAGATTTCTTTTCATGTGGAATTAATTCGGATGTTAAAATGTACAAGACAGCTATGTTGGAAACACCAGGGCCAGAAGTGGTTATTTGAGAGCCTTGTTTTGTCATCATTAAAGTTCTGTGCAAAATATCCTATAACCATAACAGCCCAGCTGGACAAATAGATTTGCTTCCATAAATCCAGTTTATGGTGCACATCTACTCTAGAATATAGACAAGCTACTAGCTGTGTATCATTTTCAAAACTTTGTCTTTGCTTCAACAGTTGTGAATATAATCATTAGAAGCACATAAACAGCCAAACTTCATTTAATTACAAGACACTGTATGGTTGCTTAAGAGGTTTGTTGGTCTCAAAATGTAACTCTAAGGGTTGAAATTCCCCAAATCATTTTCAATTGCCAATTTTACATTTACGTGCTTCAATTATATCCTGAATTTCTCCCCAAGGGGCTTAGAACATTGTCCTTTATTCCATTTTATATATTCATATGCTTCCTTCAATTTATATTTTTTTAAAAAATATTTATTTAAAACATGTATATCTCCACTCTCTCAATTTATGGATCCCCAAGTTGGCTATCAGTATCACAGAAATATTCATACAGTTACAACAATAAATATCTAAAACATTAAAATAAACATCAAAGAAGAAGCAGAGTAAAAATTAATCAAATAGCAATTTCCTTAAAAGTCAACTAGCTGCTGAGGAGATAAGGATGCTTGCGTCAGTATATAACTGTGGTTTCTGTTACTCTTAGCATCTCCTTTCCCCTACCTTGCAAAAGGCTTATTATTCATCTTAAAACAGCATTACTCACCTAGCAATGCTTGGGGGTAGGTCATAAGCTCTTTAACCCCTCCCAAATGAGCTGTGAAGCTAGCTGACTGATGCTATATGAATGCCCACTTTTCTTCCCAGTTTGGTGTAGTGGTTAAGAGCCAGTTTGGTGTAGTGGTTAAGTGTGCGGACTCTAATCTGGGAGTACTGGTTTTGATTCCCCACTCCTCCACTTGCACCTGCTGATGTGACCTTGAGTCAGTCACAAGCTCTAGCACAGCTGTTCCTGAAAGAGCAGTTTGTGTCAGAGTTCTCTCAGCCCCACCCCCCTCACAGAGTGTCTGTTTGTGGGGAGGGGAAGGGAAAGGAGTTTGTAAGCCGCTCTGAGACTCCAAGTGAAGGGCAGGGTATAAATCCAATCTCTTCTTCTTCTTTTTCTTCTTCTCTCTGTGTCCCTGTTCATTTTTCTGCCCCAAATCTAGGTGTTTGTGGTATATTGGAATGCAAATCCCATCTGCAGGGTGGGATCTTGTCTTGTCTGGGGATGGACATGAACCAGCTCACAAACTACAGTTCATGATTAATTTTGGCCAGTTCGTGATTTATGGACTGAAGTTCGTGGCAGGTTAACAGTTCTGGAGGTTCTTGCAGTTCGTTAACGAATACATATCCAGACAGACTTTCTCTGTTCCAACAAAATGTTGACTGAACATCAAAGCAACGGGGTGGGTGGGGTGGGGGGAGAGAATTCTTCAGCCTTGGAAACACTATTGTCAATTTCAAACTAGTTATGTCAGTTTCAAGAGGGGTTTCCCCCAGTGGCCAGAATTCCTTTGTGTTCACTTCCTGTTTTCTTGCACAGAGCTGCAAAATTCCACTACCCTTGCTTGGATTTGTGACTCTGAGCTGAGATCAGTCCTTTTAAGCTTGCAATTCCAGGGGCACTGGATTCTGCAGGGTACTCTGTGATTGCACTGGTACTACTGAACACAGTGTACATTGTACTGGTTCTGCTGGGCTTGCAAAAATGCCTCCGCCCGTGCTTGGATGGTGATTGAGCTGGCATTTTATTTATTTATTTATTTTTCCAATTTATACCCCGCCCTCCCTGTCAAGGCAGGCTCAGGGCACTGCTACATTGGCACTGGGTTTTTCTGGGCACTAGTACACTGCACTGCTTTTGTTGGGCTTGCAACCCCCTCCCTTGCTTGGAGTGTGATTCTGTGCTTGAAATCAGTTTTTGAGCTGGCATTGCTACATTGGCACTGGGTTCTGCTGGGCACTAGAACATTGCACTGGTTTGGCTGGACTTGCAAAAATATCCCCCCTTCTGTTTCTACTGCAGAAATTCTTGGGACTTTGATTCTGCTCTGCTGGGCTTTCTATTGCCCTTAGGGATTTCTTGCTGTTTTTTTCCTCCATCAGAAACTATGGAGGATGGGGCACCTTCTTTGGGGGGCTGTAACTTGGACCCTGTAAATACAGTTCTCACCAAACCTGGAGGGCAGGTAGAGGGGAGTCAGCTGGAGATCTCCTGTGAGTTTGGTGTCTCTAGCATGAGGGGAGCATTCTACTGCATCACTAACTTAATGAAGTGGGCATGCCACAAGCTGAAATGAACCACATTTTCCCGGTTCTTGCCCATTCCTAGTCTTGTCTATGAGAAGAAAGAGTAACATTGTGGAGGCCTGCTATAGCTGTACATGTTGACTGACTCTTTCTATGACCACTGTCTATTTCTGTGACCACTGCCACAGGAAGTGGTGGCGGCTACAAGCATGGACAGCTTCAAAAGGGAATTAGATAAGCATATGGAGCAGAGGTCCATCAGTGGCTATTAGCCACAAGGTATAGATAGGGACTCTGGGGCAAGTGATGCTCTGTCTTCTTGGTGCTTGGGGGGGTCAACAGTGGGAGGGCTTCTAATGTTCCGGCCCCACTGGTGGACCTCCTGATGGCACCTGGTATTTTTGGCCACTGTGTGACAGAGTGTTGGACTGGATGGGCCTTTGGCCTGATCCAACATTGGCGTCTCTTATGTTCTTATGTATGACTAATTTTGAAGCACTGTCAGCAGTACTGTACCATAACTGGAGAGTATCATGGTGTTGCTACATTCTCTGTTGTTTAAGTGATACTGGGTTTTCTGTCACAGAACACTCCATCCCTAAAAGTCACCCAAGTTTCTTCAGAAAGGTGCAGGACCAGGGGTCAGTTGGAGCCGGAGTGCCGAGGAACAGCGCTCCGGTAGTGAGGAGCTGAGGGGGCGGGTACATAACCAAGCCCCACCCCCTGCTCCCAGCAATTTCTGGGCAGGAGGAGGGAGGTCGGGAGGGACAGACGGTGGGTGCTCTGCATGTAAAGACCCAACTCCTGAGGCGAAGGGGCCAGCGCCAGCCAGAGCTCACATGGGCATCTGCTTGGTCGTGGTATCCACCCACCTCCCCCCGCCATTGCCGGCCCACACCTCCATGCAGGGCCGGTGGAAGACCCGCCCACCTTCAAGGCAAAGGGGCCAGTGCCAGCCGGAGCTCACACAGGGCATCCGCACGGTCCTAGTCTCTGGCCACCTCCCCCGCCATTGCTGGTCCACGCCTCCGCGCGGGGCCAGTGGAAGGCCTGCCCACCTCCCTCCCCCATGCCATTGCCAGCCCGCACCTCTGCGCAAGGCTGGTAGAAGGTCTGCCCACCTCCCACTGTGCCATTGCCGGCCTGCGCCTCCACGTGGGGCCGGTGGAAAGTCTGCCCGCCTTCTAGGTGAAGGGGCCAGTGCCAGTCGGCGCTCATACGGGGCATCCGCGTGGTCCTGGCGTCCACCCACCTCCCCCTGTGCCATTGCTGACCCATGCCTCCATGCAGGGCTGGTGGAAGGTCCACCCACAGCCCCCCGTGCCATTGCCAGCCCGCGCCTCTGTGTGGGGCCGGTGGAAGGCCTGCCCGCCTGCCTCCCCCCTGTGCCAGCCGCGGGACACAGGGAAAGCCTGCCCGCCCACCTCTCGCCTTTCCCAGCCTGCGCTTTCTTTCCCTCTTTTCTTCCTCCTTTCCTTCTCTCTTTCCTTCATTCCCTCCTTTCCTCTCCTTTTCCTCCTCCTCCCCTTCTCTTTCTTTCTCTTTCCCTCCTTCTTGCCTTCTTTCTTTCTTTCCTTTTTTCTTTCCCTCTTTCCTTCTTTTTTTCTTTCTTTGCATATCTGTGCGTTTCCCCCCACAGCTAGCAATCCAAAACAGTCCAGTGGCACCTTTAAGGCCAAGGTTTATTCAGTACAAGCTCTCCCTCTGTAAGGGCAGATCTGCTTGTGTCCCCCTCCCCAGCTAGTAATCCAAGACAGTCCAGTGGCACCTTTGAGACCAAGTTTTATTCAGGTATAAGCTCTCCCTCCTCTGTGAGGGCAGATCTATGTGGGAAATCCCCCTCCCCCATAGCTAGCAATCCAAAACAGTCCAGTGGCACCTTTAAGACCAAGGAAAAAAGGAGAAACAACAGCTGAGGGGTGACATGATCGAGGTTTATAAGATTATGCATAGGATAGTGCAGGTAGAGAAAGAGGTACTTTTCTCCCTTTCTCACAATACAAGAACTCGTGGGCACTCAATGAAATTGCTGAGCAGTCGGGTTAGAACAGATACAAGGAAGTATTTCTTCACCCAAAGAGTGATTAACACATGGAATTCACTGCCACAGGAGGTGGCAGCGGCTACAAGCATGGATGGCTTCAAAAGGGAACTGGATAAATATATGGAGCAGAGGTCCATCAGTGGCTATTAGCCACAAGGTATAGACAGGAACTCTCGGTCTGGGGTGAGTGATGCACTGTATTCTTGGTGCTTGGGGTGTGTGTGTGGGAACAACAGTGGGAGGGCTTCTTGTGTCCTGCCCCCACTGCTGGACCTCCAGATGGCACCTGGTATTTTTGGTCACTGTGTGACAGAGTGTTCGACTAGATGGGCCATTGGCCTGATCCAACATTGGCTTCTCTTATGTTCTTATGTAAGGTTTATTCAGGTACAAGCTCTCCCTTCTCTGTGAGGGCAGATAGCTAGCAATCCAAAACAGTTCAGTAGCACCTTTAAGACCAAGTTTTATTCAGGTACAAGCTCTCCCTCTGCGAGGACAGATCTGCATGTCCCCCCCCCAATAGCTAGCAATCCAAAACAGTCCAGAGGAGCCTGAGCGGTGGGTGTTGCCTTCAGACACACTT